TCAGACGAATCTCTTTTTTCACTCATGCAACTGTACCTGCTTATATGCAAAAGACAGTTTTTGATAGATGTGTTGTGTATTGTTCACATAGAAAGCTCTTCTCGTGTACCCAGAGTTTTACATCAAGGTCAACTGGAGATGCAGTGCTGGTGCTTTAGCCGTGAGAGCAGAGGTAAAGCCACCTTGAGCGCTCAGCGCACTGGCTCATGTTAGGGCTGTCAAAAATTCGTCGAATTTAAAATATTCGAATGCAAAAACTTTGCGTTTGATTTTTAGGTGTGCGTAAGGCACTTATCAGCGGTGCACGAGATGCGATGACGATGAAGGTGTCGTTGCATTTGAATGCTTTTGTTAGTCTATCCAGCTGAACCCATGAGATGCGGCGCTGCTGCACTGTTCAAAATATTGCGGAAGGAGAACATCAATGCAGAGAAGATGTTGTTCACGTCAAAACTGAAACCAAGCCGTTTTCTAGAGGGACAACATTGTCAATTCGATCCCCGTTCACATGGATGCACAAAAACAACTAAAGCGCTGTATTATCCGTGCCAGGCCAGTAGTTGGCGATGTCACGTTGTAAAGAAACACAATGCGTCTGTGCACGTGTGTATTCCCATAGACTGAACACGTAATACACATGCACACGACCTCACCGTTTTCACAATTTCACGTTTTTGTAGTTTAAATGGAAATGATAATGCTAACATTTTCAAAAACTTGAACTTTGAAACTCGTTTTGAAAAGTTAGCGTTTTGAGGCCCCCAAAGCACTGTTGTCATGTCAATACAAGGCCAAAACACATAAAAAATGTCCACTTTAAATTGAAAACAACCCCTCAGGTAACTAAAAATCAGTTTTGGTGAATGAGTTCAGCAGCATCACTGAATCAGAACATCCCACACAGCTGCTCTGGATCGACATCAGAACCCAGGGCAAATCTCCTCAAAGCACACACTGCACTGATTTCTGGGCAGGATCCGATCCTGAGGCTCACATCACATCCGAGCTCAGCTGTTAAACCAGACAAATGCGTTCATACAGTCATGCAAAGCTGACAAAAAGAAGGAAATGGGGAAATTAAAAAGAAATGAAGTTTACATCATTTAAACACATGAAACGGGAAGAAAGTCTATTGGACTTGGACTAAGATGGGACTCCTGATGATGGACTTCAAGGACCTCTGGGCCATCTTAGACAAAGGGTCATAATGAGGGCTGAAAATAAGCATTTTTCCACATTTTGCTAGATTAATTAGTATTTGTAGTCTGGATGCGATCGGTTATCTGCTGTGAACCGGTGTGTTAAGGAAGATGGGTCATATTTATAAAACACAAAGTCATACAGTAACATACGGGATGTCTTAGGCATTCAATCAAAGTACTCAGTGGTCAAATATTAGCCTATATGGATATCAAGAGATATAGTGACAAGTAAGGCTTGCATGTGTGAGTATATCTGTGCAAGGTGTTTTCACTAGTGATGGAAGTCACACATGAACAGTCAAAAGTGAAGCTTAAGAAGTAAGAAAATATTAACAGACATTTTTAACTTCAAACCATTGCTTCCGGCTAAAATACAAGTCCTCTATCCATAATACTGCTTTCTCCGGTCTGAAATATAAGCTTTTTTAACACTATCTCAGCATTAGAAGCAATATCCACAGGACAGTCCATGTGATATTTTGTTGCGGATTTGAAATATATTATTTAAATGTGAGGGTTGCAAGCAGTTTTTGAGATTTCACGATGTCCCCCAAATGATATACACCCCTTCAGACTCCATTCGTCACCACGTTTGTCAGCTCTTTGCACATCAAGGTGTTTTATTCACCGAATGTCCTCCTTACATTTCCTCTGTGCAAGTCTGGCTCTAAGCGCAGGAAAATGAGATGATAAGAGCACTTTGCTACGAAGCAGTGTGGCGTATTGGGATAATGTGTGTTAGTAATGTGCATCTGATTAATGTAGTGCATTCACTGATTCACGTTCGTAGGATCCAGTATTTAAGTCATGTGATGTGATGTTCACATGTTCTGTGACACATGTGACCCTGGAGCACAAAAGCAGTGTTAAGTCGCTGGGGTATATTTGTAGCAATAGCCAACAATACATTGTATGGGTCAAAATTATACATTTTTCTTTTATGCCAAAAATCATTAGGATATTAAGTAAAGATCATGTTCCATGAAGATATTTTGTAAATTTCCTACTGTAAATATATCAGAACTTAATTTTTGATTAGTAATATGCATTGCTAAGAACTTCATTTGGACAACTTTAAAGATGATTTTCTCAATATTTAGATTTTTTTGCACCCTCAGATTCCAGATATTCAAATAGTTGTATCTCGGCCAAATATTGTCCTATCCTAACAAACCATACATCAATGGAAAGCTTATTTATTCAGCTTTCAAATTTCAAAAAATTCTGACTGGTTTTGTGCTCCAGGGTCACACATGTATTTTTGAATCTGAGTAAAAGTGTGCTATTTGGGTGTCGTATAATTATTAATATTATTGGGTGTCCGCCTCGCCAGTAACACTAAGGAAGGCCCGTTTTCCAGGGACAGTCCAGGTTTGTTGTGTCCTGTACCTGGAAATGTCCTCATTTTAAAGCACTTTCAAAACAACCCTCAAATGCACTGTAAAAGCCGACCAATATAGCCTGATTACTGGATCGTGCGCAGAGTTGCCAAGTCCACTTATAATGCACAACTTTGGGCTTCTTTTCTGGTTAAGTTGTGTGAAAAAATTCCGGGTTGCGTTTTTTTGGGCTTATTTTAAAAAATATGGTTGCTTGTTAGGAAAATCAACAAATTTATGTTTGCCGTATTCTCCAATGCATTGACTGACACTCTGTTTGCTCACAGTTAACTTAATAGCCAGTCAGTGCAAAAATATAAGTGCTGTAGCATAATTCATCAAACATTACCCCCTCATCCCCCTCACTGGAGAAAATCACGCTCAACATGAACACGCGTGATGATAGTGTAGATGTAATAGTAGAGGAGTGGGATAACTTTTGAATAAATTTTAATTCTTACAATGTTTTTGTAATGTATTAATTATCATGGGCTATAATAAAAAAACAAAAACAAGTAGGCCTATACTAATGCTAACAGTATATATTAATTGCTGTCAAACGATTAATCGCATCCAAAATAAAAGTTTTTGTTTACATAATATATGCGTGTGTTCTGTGTGTATATTTATTATGTATATATAAATACACATTACACACACATACAGTATATATTTAGAAAATATTTACGTGTATATATATATATATATATATATGAACATAACATTTTTCTTAAATATATACGTGCTTGTGTGTGTGTATTTATTACATAATAAAAGTTCTGAAGATGAACGAAGGTCTTACGGGTTTGGAACGACATGAGAGTGAGTAATTAATGACAGCATTATCATTCAACTAACCCATTAATAATTAAAGAGCTATGCATGACAATCAATCATCTTAAATATGGAATCGTGGCTTACTCATGTCTCTGTTATGTGTCCTAACAATGCTAACAAGAGCTCTTCTCATGCAGGTGGCAGTGTGTTGGTGGCTGTGCACTCTTCAAGCACCTCTGATTTCTCTGTTAAGCTGGAGTCTGTAACAACATCAATGCTGTAGAATAGTTTCCTCAGAAATCTCATTTCAAACCTATACCACTCACTTCTGCTGAACACTAAACACTTGAGAACCCATTAAAATAGTGTCAGAAGTAGTTTGTGACTCGTGTGCCATGTCTTGTGAAAATGTAGTCTCTGAGAAAAGTTTAGGAGCACAGCACTAATATCATTATACAGTGATATGATGTTATAAAATACATTTTGTACATTATATAAAACACTCAATTTTTGGTCCTCGTATGCTCCGCATCACAAGTCAGAGATGGATTATGGATCTCTTTATTGAACAATTACTTATAATAATTTATATAGATAGTGTAAATATATATTTTTGAGAGAGCTGATACGCCTAATTGATGAGAAAATGATGTTAATCAAGACGTTTTTGATTACAGATCAATAAATGTACTAGGCTATAACTGTTTCTTGATTATTGATTATTCTTTATTAGTATCTGTGAATAAATTATATATTTTAAAAACTCGAGATTATGTCGAAGTCATTGTTATTTGGTGCTGAAGAAACGTAAAATATGTGTACCCTGTGAAATGTAGTCAAGTTTACATATTAATTCACAATTTCAATCTTATTTACCTGCATCTAATACTCACCCGTGTGTCAGGCACAGCGCTTCAGTGAAATCGCATTTTTTCACCAAAAATCACGGTTAATTCGCATCATACCGGTACATTTGCTCGAGTAAACAGGACCGTCATGTTCCCGTGTGCTCTCCGAAGAAATAACACTCGCGCGGCGCCCGATATCTGACTGTGTTTACGTAAGGACGTACGTGCGGAGTGTTTATGAAACACCTTCACACCTGATAATAACATAAACTCCTGACACTCTTGTTTTTGAACGATATTAGTATTAATTTTAAAACAACCACAAAACAAAACGGATATGAAATGCGCGCTGTTCCAAAAAAAAAAAAATATGTCGAAGTCATTGTTATTTGGTGCTGAAGAAACGTAAAATATGTGTACCCTGTGAAATGTAGTCAAGTTTACATATTAATTCACAATTTCAATCTTATTTACCTGCATCTAATACTCACCCGTGTGTCAGGCACAGCGCTTGCTTCAGTGAGCATTTTTTCACCAAAAATCACGGTTAATTCGCATCATACCGGTACATTTGCTCGAGTAAACAGGACCGTCATGTTCCCGTGTGCTCTCCGAAGAAATAACAGTCGCGCGGCGCCCGATATCTGACTGTGTTTACGTAAGGACTTACGTTTGGAGTGTTTATGAAACACCTTCACACCTGATAATAACATAAACTCCGTGACGTCACAGCGCCGCGGCTATATAAAGCCCCGCTCAGGATTCTAACGGCAGACGCGGATCTGGTTGAGTGAGTGTTTCGAATCAGTGACTGATTCCGCTGACTTACACTCTTTAGATTCACGCTTTACACACAGTCTTTTCAGACTATTCACATTTTACACACATTGTGTCCACAATTATCAGAACAATCAGATTTTTGTCATAATCAAACGATGTCTACAACAGCTGAGCGCAGTGAATCTGAGCGCGCGCCTGTCGCATCGAGCTTCAAAAGAATCGATCTGAGCGAAGAAATGATGGACAACAGCCCAGCAGGTGAGATGGACATCAACAGCAGTAATCTCTCTAGTGTTATTGTGCTTCTCTCGGAACATCAAGCTTTCCAGCAATATGAATTTAGATACAGTAATACTTGCATTAGTTAATACAGTAATACCTTCTTCTTGAGTCCGTCTCTCAGCTCTATTGAACTGTCAGGAATTTGTTGGAAAGGGAATCAGTTTCTGATCTGCAGTCAGAGGTGTTTGTCTTCTTTATTCCAGACAAAGGGAAGAAGGGGAAAGCGGTGCATGTCTTCTTCCGGAAGCTGTGCAAGGCTGTGAAGCGTCCGGACCGAGTGCTGCGTCTCACAGCACAGACGGACGCTCGTCTGGACCGTCCCGAGGTGACGGCTGTCCCGGGTCCGACGGCCGTTCCTGAGCTGCTGTGTCTGCCGGGTCAGGTGTGGGAAGATCCGGAGCGTTCCTCCGGGATCAGAGAGCCAACGCTTCTTCCAGATCCATCCGCTCTCAGTCTCTGTCACAGTGAGCCATTATTACTTTACTTCATGCATCTCTAGGAATAATAACTTGACAATGACGTTTGTTGTGCTGTGTCCATGTTTAATCGCTGTGTAATCTGTGGTCAGAGATGTTTCTAATGGTTTGCTCTTCATTGGTTTTAGAAGAAGCTAAGAAAGGAAGGAAGAGTGTCTTCTTGCGGAGAGCATGTGAGGCTGTGAAGCAGCTCTTCCCCTGCTGCGACCCGGACAGAGTCCAGCCTCCTGAAGCAGAGCCGGGTCCGGAGCAATCCCAGCTCGTTCTGCCGGAGCAGGACCAGGACCAGGTCTCTGCAGACCTCCAGTCGTCTCCTGAGGAAGAAGGTCCCTCCGAGATCCAGGCCCACGATGCAGTTCTGTCCGGTCCAGTGTCCGGTCCAGTGTCCAGTTCAGTGTCCGGTTCAGTGTCCGGTCCAGTGTCCGGTTCAGTGTCGGTCGTGTCAGAAACAGCACCGGACACAGTGTTGCCTGATCCAGAAATCCAGCTGCCTCAAGGTGAGTCATTACTGCTTTATTTATTCTCTGTTATATTCTCTTCATCGATGCTTGATCTGCAGTGCATCTGAAACTAAAGAAAGTCTTCAAGACTCTTGATTTGTTGGTTCTTCAGCTCTGCTGTTGACAATCAAAGGAACTTGCAGCCTCAAACGTGTCCATCTTCTGTTTCTGTGTGTTCGTCAGGATCCGTCGTGTCTTTGTTTGAAGTGGGACATTTGATCGCATCAGGGAACTTCAGCAAGGTCTATGAGGGAACACACATATTCAGCGACAACGTGAAATTTTTGTATAATATTTCATAAAGTAAATGCTATTTTTGTATATTTCAGAAGGTAAAAGCTATTTTTTTAATACTATTTCAGAAAGTAAATGTAGTCAGTCACTAATTAGTGCTATTAGTAACACTGAAGTAAAAAATGTAAAAAAAATAAATAAATAAAAAATTATTTTTGTATAATATTTCATAAAGTAAATGCTATTTTTGTATATTTCAGAAGGTAAAAGCTATTTTTTTAATACTATTTCAGAAAGTAAATATTTCTAATATTTCAGAAAGTAAATGATATTATTTCTAATTAATCAGAAAGTAAATGATATTATTTCTAATATTTCAGAAAGTAAATGCTATTTTTGTATATTTCATAAAGTAAATGCTATTTTTTTTATACTATTTCAGAAAGTAAATGCTATTTTTTTTATAATATTTCAGGAAGTACATGTAGTCAGTCACTAATTAGTGCTATTAGTAACACTGAAGTAAAAAATGTAAAAAAAATAAATAAATAAAAAATTATTTTTGTATAATATTTCAGAAAGTAAATGCTATTTTTGTATATTTCATAAAGTAAATGCTATTTTTTTTATACTATTTCAGAAAGTAAATGCTATTTTTTTTATAATATTTCAGGAAGTACATGTAGTCAGTCACTAATTAGTGCTATTAGTAACACTGAAGTAAAAAATAAAAAAAATATATATATATTTTAAAATAATATTTCATAAAGTAAATGCTATTTTTTTATATTTCAGCAAGTAAATGCTATTTTTTAAATACGCAATCTTTTAATAATATTTCAGAAAGTAAATGTAGTCAGTCACTAATTAGTGCTATTAGTAACACTGAAGTAAAAAACGTAAAAAAATAAATAAATAAAAAATAATTTTTGTATAATATTTCATAAAGTAAATGCTATTTTTGTATATTTCAGAAGGTAAAAGCTATTTTTTTAATACTATTTCAGAAAGTAAATATTTCTAATATTTCAGAAAGTAAATGATATTATTTCTAATATTTCAGAAAGTAAATGCTATTTTTGTATATTTCATAAAGTAAATGCTATTTTTTTTATACTATTTCAGAAAGTAAATGCTATTTTTTTTATAATATTTCAGGAAGTACATGTAGTCAGTCACTAATTAGTGCTATTAGTAACACTGAAGTAAAAAATAAAAAAAATATATATATATTTTAAAATAATATTTCATAAAGTAAATGCTATTTTTTAAATACTATTTCAGAAAGTACATGTAGTCAGTAATTGGTGGCTTATAGTGACATTAATGGAAGAAATGTAAATAAAAATGCAATTTTTTAATAATATTTCATAAAGTAAATGCTATTTTTTTATATTTCAGAAAGTAAATGCTATTTTTTAAATACTATTTCAGAAAGTAAATGTAGTCAGTAATTGGTGGCTTATAGTGACATTAATGTAAGATATGTAAAAAAATGCTATTTTTTATAATATTTCTGAACGCTGCTAATAACTAATAATTTATTAATGTAGTAACTAATAATTTATTAATGTAGTAATTTATAAATGTATTAAGAATGAATTAAAATATTTTTAATCAAACCACAAATGGGCACGTCATCTGTTTGATTAGCAGCATTCTTCTAAATACCTTCTTTTATGTTCAAGTGGAAGAAAGAAACTCATACAGGTTTGGAACGGCACGAGGGTAAGTACATGATGACAACATTTTCATTTTTGAGTGAACTGTCCCTTTAAGAATAGTGTTTTATCAATAATTATGTTATTTCAATCTTCAGTCTAATAAAAGTTAAATAAAAGTCACGAGATGCAAATTTTGACAGGTGGTGGCGCTAGAGGGTTTGAGTTAGAGACTCCAAATTTGGTGTGGCTAATATTCAGAATGTGCTCTATCTCTGTGCCAAATTTCACAACTTTTTCTTTGTGTTTATATGGACTGACAGAAGAAGAAGAAGAGATACAATAGGTGCTTGGCCTCCAAGTACTATAAATGGAGCAGTAATGTTGTATTTCGTTGTAATCTGGGTCACATTAATGCACGGGTTTACCTGTGCTTAAGCCCAGGGCCCCGTGATGCCGGAAGATATTGTATGTGAGTTGGCTGTTCCTTTAAAATTACGCGTTATCGCTTTGCTTTGAATGCATGTGCAGGTGCTCCCACATATGATCTTAAAAAGAGAAGAATGCCAAAAATAAAGCGAAAAGTCAGTCAAATTTGCTAAAAACAATTTCCAAAGCTCACGGTATATATTTTTTATTGCTGCAAAATAAAAGGCTGACATTGCCTGAATGTAGGCTGTAGTTCTGGTGGATGAAGGGCCCCTCAAGAGGCTTGACTAAAAGTTTGAAAACAGCGCTAGAAATGTTATAATTAAGGAAATTATACATATCCTAAAAGACACAGGCCCAATAAAATATGTCTAATCAAAGAGAAAATGTTGCTGTGACATTTACTAGCAACATCAGAAACACTAATGTTTTCTGTTATTATTAATTATTAGGCACAAACTAAGAAAAGTAAAACAAACCTTCAATGTTTAAATAATGAAATAAAAGCACCAGTTTTGTCCGTGGGGGTGGGAGCACAGGTAGACTATATAATCGGATTGTGTGTTTGTATATTTATTTTTTGGCCTATTCATGTCTATTCATGTAATTTCGTTTATTTATTTATTTATTTTAATTGAGTCCTGGTGTGCTCTACAGAGGGCATAGCGTAACATATGAATAAAATATCATTATTCGAAATTGCTATTTTTCAATTTTTTTTCTTATGCTTTAAACAATGTAATGACATGAAAAAATACTAAATTCACAAAACGTTTTTGTCTTGTTCTCAGGAGGATATAAAAGTATTCCAGCGATTTTTGGAATGAGTAACTTAAACAACGCTTCAGGAAATGGCTTTACTTTTCACTTCTTTGTTAACGTATTTCCTATTAAAATAGGTTATTTTTAGCTGAAAAAGAAAAAAGTCGTGTTGTGTCGTTTTTTGTGATGTTAAGAAAAAACTTTTAGCGACTCTTATTTTGAAACTTCCGGGCTCCACCGGAAGCGGGTGTCGTTTCGCCGGCTTCACTGTGTGCAGTTACACGTGTTCCCATCGCTGCGTACAGACTTACACGATGGCACATCGGGACGGGATCGTGTAAGTAAACTTATCAGTACTTCAACTTGATCAACAGGTAACCTGTAGTTTAGTGCGCTGTTTTCTCAGCGGAGCACACGACGATCTGCAGTGTTTCATCGGTCTCACCAAAATACTGTGGTTTGCTTTAAGGACACACGACCAGTCAAAGGTTTCTGAACAGTAAGATTTTAATGTTTTTAAAGAAGTCTCTTCTGCTCACCAAGCCTAAATTTGATCTAAAGTATTTTTTTTTATTATTGTTTATTTTTTTACTATTTAAAATAGCTGTTTTCTATGTGAATATCTGTTAAACTGTAATTTATTTCTGTGATGCGCAGCTGTATTTTCAGCATCATTACTCCAGTCTTCAGTGTCACACGATCTTCAGAAATCATTCTTTCTTGCTGATTTGCTGCTCAGAAAACTATTATTATTATTATTATTATTATGCTGAAAACAGCTGAGAGGTGAGTGTGCAGCCGCAGCTGGATGGTGATGGTGATTGTGATGTGATTGTCATAGTGATGTGATAGTGATGTGATAGTGATGTGATGGTAATGGTGATTGTGATGGTGATGTGATAGTGATGGTGATCGTGATGTGATTGTGATAGTAATGTGATGGGGATGTGATGTGAATGTGATGGTGATGTGATGGTAATGTGATGGTGATGGTAATGTGGTTGTGATGGGGATGGTGATTGTGATGTGATGGTAATGTGATAGTGATGGTGATAGTGATGTGATTGTGATAGTGATGTGATTGTGATTGTGATAGTGATGTGATGGTAATGTGATGGTAATGTGATGGTGATGTAATGTGATGGTGATGGTAATGTGATGGTGATGGTGATGTGATTGTGATAGTGATGGCGATAGTGATGTGATTGTGATTGTGATGTGATTGTGATTGTGATAGTAATGTGATAGTGATGTGATGGTAATGTGATGGTGATGTGATGGTAATGTGATTGTGATAGTGATGGCGATAGTGATGTGATTGTGATTGTGATGTGATTGTGATTGTGATAGTAATGTGATAGTGATGTGATGGTAATGTGATGGTGACAAGAGGTGAGTGTGCAGCCGCAGCTGGATGGTGATTGTGATGTGATTGTCATAGTGATGTGATTGTGATTGTGATAGTGATAGTGATAGTGATGTGATGGTGATGTGATGTGATTGTGATAGTGATGTGATTGTGATAGTGATGTGATGGTAATGGTGATTGTGATGGTGATCGTGATAGTGATGGTGATCGTGATGTGATTGTGATAGTAATGTGATGGGGATGTGAATGTGATGGTGATGTGATTGTGATAGTGATGTGATGTGATGGTGATGGTAATGTGATTGTGATAGTGATGTGATGGTGATGGTAATGTGGTTGTGATGGTAATGTGGTTGTGATGGGGATGGTGATTGTGATGTGATGGTAATGTGATAGTGATGGTGATAGTGATGTGATTGTGATAGTGATGTGATGGTAATGTGATTGTGATAGTGATGGCGATAGTGATGTGATTGTGATAGTAATGTGATGTGAATGTGATGGTGATTGTGATAGTGATGTGATGGTAATGTGATGGTGATGTGATGGTAATGTGATTGTGATAGTGATGGCGATAGTGATGTGATTGTGATTGTGATGTGATTGTGATTGTGATAGTAATGTGATAGTGATGTGATGGTAATGTGATGGTGATGGTAATGTGATGGCAATGTGATTGTGATGGCGATGTGATTGTGATTGTGATAGTGATGTGATGGTGATGGTAATGTGGATGTGATGGTGATGTGATTGTGATTGTGATTGTGTTGTCAGGAAGAACATGGTGCGGCCGTTCGACGACTCCACAGCGCTGGTGAGCTCATGATTCACCACTCTGACCCAGGGCTGTGTGATATATATATATCGTCTGCGGTAACATCGTGATTGTTTTTAACAATGTGTGATTTGACATCATCGAGTATATCACAAAAACGAACAAACCACACCTACAGAGCGCACTCATACATGACGTGATGAAGTCTAGTAGCTTAGACTAGTGCGAGTGCGCTCTTTCACTGCTTGATTCAGTCTATTAAAATACATTTACAATGATCTCAAATTCAAGACAAATTCATATAGTTAATCAATATGACACAAAGAGTGCTGTTTTTTCTTGGTGATCGTGATAGTGATGGTGATCGTGATGTGATTGTGATAGTAATGTGATGGGGATGTGAATGTGATGGTGATGTGATTGTGATAGTGATGTGATGTGATGGTGATGGTAATGTGATTGTGATAGTGATGTGATGGTGATGGTAATGTGGTTGTGATGGTAATGGTGATTGTGATGTGATGGTAATGTGATAGTGATGTGATGGTGATAGTGATGTGATTGTGATAGTGTGTGATTTGACATCATCGAGTATATCACAAAAACGAACAAACCACACCTACAGAGCGCACTCATACATGACGTGATGAAGTCTAGTAGCTTAGACTAGTGCGAGTGCGCTCTTTCACTGCTTGATTCAGTCTATTAAAATACATTTACAATGATCTCAAATTCAAGACAAATTCATATAGTTAATCAATATGACACAAAGAGTGCTGTTTTTTCTCCAAAAATTACCACGATTACAAATGTGATACTGATTTTATGCAACAGTTCAATAAACTAGAAGTTAATATTAAGAGACTTGCGATTTAGACACTATATTGCCTGTTTTTGCTCTATTTCGATGACAAAAATAATTCCAAACACAGCCACAGCACTGTTCTGCTTCTCTGAGCAACATGACGGTGTTTCGTTCCTGAATAAACCATTCGTTTAAATGATTCGGTTCAATCGCAATGACTCACTTATTAACAGTGGCTTGCTGCCACCTGCTGGAGGTTTTAATTTCACATTTAAAGTATCTTTGCTTTTTTAAAAAAATATAATTTCAAATATCAGTATGACGGAAGAGGATTAGGGCCAAGCAATAATACAAAAATACAACCATCTTGAGATTAAAGTCGTTAAATTTAGAGACTGTCCCTTTAAGTGTCCCTCTGAGCTGCATTAAATAGTGTGTAAATAGACCTACATCTAAATGCTTCTTCAGATGCAGCTTCTGTGTTTCCTCTGCATTGCAAAGATGAATTTTGATTCTGATATCATTTGTTTGGTAACAGCCCAAATGTCTTTTATTCTAATTCACTGATTAAATGTAAGAATTCGACTCAAAAGATGAAGCACACTTTTAGAAAAAAAGTATTTATAACGGTAAAAATGCCCATAAAAGTTAAAAATCAATTAGAACTTACTGGAACAGATTAATTTCTATCACTGCTGTGAACTGACCAGCACAGAATATGAAGAATATCAAAAACTGTAGGAGTCAGTTTAAGAGACCAGCACAACAACACACTCAGCAAAATATCGTCTAATTATCGTTATCGATAAAATCCTAGAAAATATGGCGATATTATTTTTGTCCATATCACACAGCCCTTCTCTGAGCGTAACGAAGCCTCATATGGGATCCTCAGCGTCTAACAGTCGTCTGTTTGCTCTCCGTCAGGAATTCTTCTCCAAGAAGTCGGACTGCTCCTTGTTTCTGTTCGGCTCACACAACAAGAAGAGGCCCAACAACCTGATATTCGGTGCGTGAGAGCGCTCAGAGGTCAGTGTTAGAGGAAGAGCTTGTGTTGACGCTTGTCTGCTGCTCACAGGACGCATGTTTGACTTCCACGTGCTGGACATGTTCGAGCTGGGCATCGAGAGGTTCGTGTCTCTGAGAGACGTGAAGGTACGCCGCAGAGATGACTCCTGAGCGTGGGTATGTGTGTGTGACGCATCTGACCTGAGCTCCTGTGTGTGTGTGTGTAGACGGACACGTGTCCCGAGGGCACCAAACCGCTGCTGGTGTTCGCCGGGGAGCTGTTCGAGACGGACCGGGAGCATCAGCGCTTGAGGAGCCTGCTGACAGGTGCTCACTAGTGTCTCACTGCTCTCATCATGAGCTTCTGCTGCTCGATCAAGCGTCACGCTAGCAGAGAGGGGTTTCTGTGTGTGCTTCAGAGAAAGAAAAATGCTTTTCATAGATGATAAAAGGAGATTCAGTTCCCGAGGGCACCAAACCGCTGCTGGTGTTCGCCGGGGAGCTGTTCGAGACGGACCGGGAGCATCAGCGCTTGAGGAGCCTGCTGACAGGTGCTCACTAGTGTCTCACTGCTCTCATCATGAGCTTCTGCTGCTCGATCAAGCGTCACGCTAGCAGAGAGGGGTTTCTGTGTGTGCTTCAGAGAAAGAAAAATGCTTTTCATAGATGATAAAAGGAGATTCAGTGGGAAAAAGATGGACGTTGTTTTGTCATTTTTATTCTGTTCTTGGTTTCTTTGCTAAGTGTTTTTTTTCTTTTGCTCTTGTTTTACGTTTTGGTTGACTTTTAAAAAGTTTTTTTTTTTTTTTTATGAAGATTTTTGTAATTTATTAAATTAAAAAAGTCCTTGCATATCTTACAACATTAGCTGACTACTGAATCAGAATTGAATAAAATGTAAATGTTTTCAGAGCTGGAGAATTGGAATTGAATTGGAAAAGCTGTATCATTACCAAGCCTTAGATCCAAATATCTAACTGGCATTGATAGAAGAAAAAAAAAAACACTCTAGATAAACTGTTGATTGCAATAGCTTCTACTACATTCATGAAGTGAGGCCAGATTTATTCTCAGATTTTTTTTTTTTATCGAAGATAACTTTTAAAATCCTATTAATGTCATGTTCTTTTTGTCTTCTCTTTTCTCACCATAAATATATCTGTGGTAGCTGGCATGGTGCTAAATTTATATATATATATAAGAAAATTATATAAACATGTAATACTTGCAAAAACAGACAATTGTACATTTTTACCCTGATTTACAGAAAAAATATTGTTGTGTAACTATAGTTTATATATCAGAAAATCCTGCCAGGCGTATTTAGATCAAGAATTATTAGATGACAGTAAAAGAATGCTTTAGAATCACAGTGAGGCCCTAAAAAACTAACTAATAGTCAGTTTAAATCTTTACCACGATCCTTGAAACCACTAGGTGTTACATATTTTAATCATTAAATATAATCTAATTTAATATGATCATTTCTTTCGTTTATTTTAATAAGTAAAAGTCAGAATAAGCATGTTGTTTTGCTTTTACATAAATATATGTGCTACACTGAATAACGATGGAACATTGTGACATTTTATTTAAAACAAAGTGGACACTTCACTTGCGTTTAATATGCTTTCTGTGATTTTTCATGATTATAAACAGTTTATTTTTAGTTCCTTTGGTCTTATATAATGCATGTCATGTCTCTCGACCAATCAGATTCAGCAGCTCTGCGGTCGCATGAGTGTGAGAGTGAGTGTGAGAGTGAGTGTGAGAGTGAGTGTGAGAGTGAGTGTGAGAGTGAGTGTGAGAGTGAGTGTGAGAGTGAGTGTGAGAGTGAGTGTGAGAGTGAGTGTGAGAGTGAG